TTCGGCCCGAATCAGTTTTCTAAAGTGTTTTTGAAAAATCACATACCCTGCCTTTAACTCTTTCCCCGCCAAAGACGAGTTTTTACAGCTTTTCGTGTTTTCTCTGTTATACACTCGGGGGCGCTATTACACATCTTCTGAACGAGTACAAAACCTCCCGAACAAAAACACACGTGAACAGGACGGAGAAACTAGCGATCTCTTATGTAAACAGATGCATATGAAAAATAATGCGATCATCAGCAATAGACCGCATATAAATGAAAACTGCATAATGTTACGGAGTAAAATGTTGATCCAGGAAGTGGTATATGTCTGTGCAAGCTTTGGAGGTTTTGATGGAAGCGATTTACTGGATTTATGTTTTGAAAATCGTACTGAATATTATCCAGATGTAGTTTTTGATAAAAATTTGATTTTCTCACCTTTTTGCTCAAAATTATGCATTTTTATGAAAATTATGCATTTATATTCAAGTGTTGATAAAAAAAAGAATGCTTTAAGCTAGAATAAAACTGATTTAGATTTTTGTTTAAAAGTAGAGGCTCTGATCTTTATTATGGTGTATTGCATATTCAAATATTCATACAGCAAAATATACCGGAGGCCATCAAAGTTGAGTGAAAATCATCAAAATCGCTGGCGGTGGCTGGCAACTTAAAAAAAATAAATAAATGCTGGCGGGGAAAGAGTTAATAGTGTAACTTCAGCTAGTTAGGATTGTCCTATCGAACATAGATCTTGGGCTGCATGATTTTGGGTGAAAATGTAATTGCAATTTCTGATTTAAAAAAAAAATTTGATTTGAAATGCGATTTGGCAATTTGGCCAAAATTTGTGATTTATATAATGACAAATTTAAAAAAAATAAAATAATAATAATAATAAATATAATTGTTATTATTAATTTTGTAATATTTCACTGTAGAATAAGAAAAGTAAACAGTAGAAAAAGTATTTAAGGAAAAAATAATAATAATAACAAAAAACACTGAAAAAAAACAACAGATGATGAGCTGCTCGTGTGTAAAAAAAAAAAAAAAAAAACAGTGCTGAGCTTCACTTAATTAAATCACAGCCTTTATGATTGGATAAGTCATAAACCTATATCCCGATTTCAGTTTCAAGTCTCTCATAACACACATATAACCTCATGAATGAAGTGCAGTCATCATCCCATTACCACTGTTAATGATGAAAAGACAGTGATATTTCAAAGTCAGCTTTATATGTGAGTTTTTGTATTGATTTGGCAGCTTGTTTGTTTTAATAAGGCTGTTTGAAGGGTAGGAGAATCCGATGATAACTTAAATGAATTCTATCCTTCAGTAATCTCAGTAAATTCCTGTAGTAATCACACTGCATGCTATAGAATATGGGGGTGCTCACTGCAAATATTAGTTTTGATTGGTGCTCTGCCATGATAAAGCTCACATTTGATGCTGTATGACTTTGTGTTCAACAAGATGGATGGTCACAAGCCGTGCCATTCTGGGCATTAATCTTGGTATGGGGGAAAAAAACAGGCTTCTGAATTTATCAGGACTACAGCTGGTTGCTTTTCATTTAGCAGACACTTTTTATGCAAAGTAGTTTACAGTGCACTAATTGCAAGGACAATCCCTTTGGAGTTAGTGTAGTGTACTAAGTGCTTTAATCTGGAGTTTAATAATTATGGATCTTAGTAACTCAGCGCAGTTCACTGGTTCTCTTTATGTGGGATCACACTTGGAGGTTTTGTTTCAACAGCCCAGATTTGTACCCACTGGTCTGATGACACTCGATAGTTGCAAAACAATTGGTAACACCAATTCCACCCTGTGTTTTCTTATTAAACTTTATTAGATGAGATTGACTGCAATGTTTGTACACCCTGAAGATTTTCTGTATTATTTTATAAACCAATTTCTTATTTTTTGTTTTACATTTTATTCTGTATTTTAAAAAGTGTATAAATTAATTTGCTAATGAATACAAATAACTACTCAGAAATACATTCAGTATGTTCATCCAATATTATATAGTTGTCCCAAAAACTGTCTTGACTATTTCGTTTTTTGTAAATAATTTTTTGTTAAAAAAAAAAAGTGTTATGTCTTTAAAATAACTTTAAAAACCTTTTTAAGAGTGGCTTAAGTGTCCAAATAGTTTTTATAGCTACTTTATATTTACATTTACATTTACATTTAGTCAAAGCGACCTACAAATGAGGACAATGGAAGCAATCAAAATCAAAATATTTTTTTTAAATTATATAATAAATAAAAAGAAAACAGACAGAATAGAAAAAGAATAGAGCAAGCTAGGCGTTAGAGGCCCCCTATTTTGCTTTTTGTTAATTGTATAATAAATAAAAAGAAAACAAACAGATAGAATACAAAAAGAACAGAGAAGCTAGTGTTAGTTTTTTATAGAAAACAAGCAGTTAGTAAATGAATAGAGTGCAAGTCTAAATCAATATTTAAAGTGATTTTTATTTCTCAAATGTTTGTTTTTCATACTTCTAGAGACTTAAAAGCATTTGAATTGAGAAATATTTTAAGTATCGACTTTGTCTCGGATGTTTGTACTAAAATTAGTAGAACATAAAAAAATAATATATACTACTTTTTTGAAATATCACAATTTTAAATAACTGTTTTATATTTTTTTATATATCTTAAAATATAGTTTATTCCTATGAAAAATCTGAATTTTCACTGAATGTCTTCAGTGTCACATGATTCTTCAGAAATCATTCTGATATATCGATTTGGTGCTTTAAGAAGCTTTTATTATAATGATCAATGTTGAAAACAGTTGTGCTTCTCAATATATTTGTGGAAACAGTTTCTTTGATGAATAAAAAAATTAAAAAGAACAGTATTTGAAATGGAAATCTTTTGTAACATTATAAATGTCTTTATTGTCACTTTTGATCAATTTAATGGGTTCCTTCTGAATAAAAGTATTAATTTCTTTTTAAAAATCATACTGTGACAAACTTCTGAACGGTGGTGTAAATGACTTATTTTTTTCATATATGCTCTTATTTTTGAGAATAAGCGAATACAACTACAACATAAGCTTTGTTATGACATTTAGGTCATGGAAGGTCATGATGAGAAATGTATGAGTTCATATTGAAATCTCTGAACTGTGAACTCCTTTGTGTTGTAGGTGGAAGCTAAATGGCAGCCTGCTCAACCCTAAACCCGGCTCCCATCACAGCCTCTCTGGAGGCAACCTTCGCATCAACCATCTCAATAAAGACGAGGACGCTGGGACGTACCAGTGCCTTGCTTCTAACTCCTTCGGGACTATTGTCAGCAGGGAGGCCAGCCTAACCTTTGCCTGTAAGTCACATTCTGATCTCTGATCAAACCACAGCAGCACACATCAGGCCCAAACAAACAGGACATTGCAGACCTGACGGCACACACTGTATGCTGGCCCTTGTCCTCCTCGCTGATAACATGATCAAAATGGAAATGTTTTCCCTGAGGAGAGCCTGGTAGCTTTCTCAGTCTCTCTCGTTCTTGTTTCTCTTTCACTCTGTCTGTATCTCACATACGCACAGGTTGTTCAGAGGCCAGATTCAGTCACGTAGTCGTCATTTATATGGGCTGATAATGAGATATCAAAAAATGAGATTCATTGAAACACATTCAGGCCTTGTGCTCCTGGCTGTTTTGAAAGCGACGACTGGCAGCTAATTGGTTTAAGCTCCACCCTTTCTACACACCACAAGAAACGCTTTATCCAGCATATAAAATAATGAGACTGAGGCTATGTTCCAAATAGCGTACTACCATACTAATTGCATAATTTCTTCAGAGGGCACTGGACACAGTATGTGATTTTTTTCTTCATAATAATAAGTAAACTATAAACTAACCATTTTTATATAATTTTGTTTTATTTTAATAAAAATAAATCGGTAATAAATGTAATAAATAATAGTAATAATACATACTTTTTACAATTTGTTTTCTGGACTGGAATATAATATTGCCAAATGCTTGATTAAAAAATGCTTGAGAAAGGTTTTATTTCCAAGGAGATAATTTAATTCCCATTCATTAAACATGCAGCATAATAAGTGTGACATGTGACAGTAATGCAGCATATGACTATGCCTTACAATGTAAAATTCAGATTTTATGGTTGAATTTCTATAGATTTTGTCACTTTTTGCACTCCTTTTTCTTTGAATTGGAATGGCACTGTTTAAAATGTTTTTATAATGATTACTTTTTCATATACTGTGTAAAAAAAACAAAAACATGTTTACACGGCAATGTACTGCACACTCAATAACGAGGCTATTTGCTAACGAATCGGAAATTATTTTCCTTTGTTAAATATATCACGTCTTTCATTATCATTCAGTTTGATTTGGTTATAAATTGGCAAATTAATATACATAATTTAGACAACTTTCTACATTTAGAAACAGGGGTGGCCCTAAAAAAAATTGCATGATAACATTTTTCATATCAGTCAAAATCGTTAATTATCACAATATGTCAAATCTTTATTTCTTTCAAGTTTAAAGCCACATTTTTGCTACAGAGTGAACGTTGCAGAAACCAGATAGTTAATCTTTATTATCAGAAAACAAACACTTACCAAACAGGTGAATAAAAACGTGATAAAAACTTGTTTTCATGACAGATTTTTTTTTCAAATGTACAATAAAAAGTGAAGATAACAGGTTAAGTAAAAATATAATGAATATGTAATATAGTACATATATTTATAAAAAAAAAAAAATTTTCTAGTGTTTTTTGTAGTTTACTATCAGATTAATGGACATTGAGTGGCTTTTTTGTTTTATTGACATCTTTCCACATTTGAAAAACTGATTGAGTGATTACATGAGACATTATACATTTCAGTCAGTTATACTACTTTCAACAGACCTTCTGATGTTCATTCTTGTTTATTTTGTGCTGCAGTTTAACTGGTAGTAAAGAGGAAGAAATGATCGATTGACGTGCCACTTGAACTGAGGCGCCTACACCGATCTGTCACCACATTAAATATATGTAATAATAATGTCAAATCCACATTTATTGTTTTTATTTTGTGGTCAAATTAACAGCATTTGAAAGCTGGAATCTTTTTTTGTGCACAAGATGATGATTTCAATGATTTCAGCCCTACAAAACTATTTCGAACGGACAACTATTGCTGCTTCAGCCAAAAATGTTCGGTTACCAAAATTGTGGTGCATCACAAGTTTGCATAATGCATAAATATTATATGAAACTTTTGTTATAATTTCATTGAGGAAAATTGTATGGAAATAATTATTGCTATTGCTTTATTGCCCAGACCAATTTAGAAATGAAAGTGTTTTAGTATAACTACAGAATTTCTCTCTGATTGGACGACTCTGATTGGCTGACCCGTTTTTGCATGCACTGATAGCAAATGACAAACAGACTTTTCCAAATGAATTCTGATTCACCACATTCCCAGCAAGACCACTGCCTGAAGGCGATGGCACTATATGGCAGGAACAATGCAATTCTGTGGGGAGGAAGTCCGCTGTCATCGTAAGACGATTGGCTGACAGATCCATCAATCGCTGGTCTCTGACCTTACTAGGCTTCAGTTGTTGTCGTGTGGTGGGGGCACGCGTCTCTGACTGCTCCACATCCATCTTCTTTATTACTCTCTCCATAGCTTAATTAACTCCGCCGCATGATGGAGTGGTGCAGGTTCAAGAGAATAATTTAAAGGGCAGCTGATGTTATTAGATGGGATATTTTCTAATTTGGTATCTAATGCTGGAGAATTTGTAGGCGACCACATTGTGCATGAGAATGCATAAAGGTGAAGTCGAGAAGTCACATTTCCAACTTGAATTCGTCAAATGTTTTAATGCTGTAAAGTAGATGAAGGAAAATGCTGAAAATTGGAGGTTTGTGGCTGCTGGTTTATATGTATAAGCTTTGCGACACACAAATATTATAGACTCCTCTTGTACTCACAGGTATATCTAAATTTTTCTCTAAAAATGCTCCCTAAAAAAGCTAAACATTGTTCTTGACGTTTTTCATGGAAATATACTATCCATCTCATAAAGAGTTGTGATTTACGTAATTGAATACAAAATAATATATAAATAATAAAACGATTGACTACTAGTTATGTATTTACATTTTGCTGCAAAATATTAAAATTAGTGCTGTCAAACGATTAATCGCGATTAATCACATCCAAAATAAAAGTTTTTGTTTACATAATATATGTGTGTATACTGTGTATATTTATTATGTATATATAAATACAAACACATGCATGTATATATTTTTGAAAAATATGTTATGTTTATATGTTAAAGTTATTTAGATATAATATAAAATATAAGAATATAAATATATAAATGTATATACATGTAAATATTTTTAAAATATTTACTGTATGTGTGTATTGATAGACTAACTTGGTTACGGCATTTGCTCTTAACATTTCTCTGAGAAATTCTCTGAAAAATCTGTTTGAGGATTATCAGTAATATAGTTCATAACCACAAACTTGGCAATGAAACACTTTTTAAAATACATTTGAAACCACACTTCTGGTTTCTAAATACTGTAAGTATAGATCATTCCTTAACCTGAAATTTAGACTTAGAGTGGTTTTGTTAATACATTGATGTTATTATTAAAAACATTTCTACATGGTAAAAAAAAAAAGGTTTTACTTATAAAATCAGTCCCTTTGGCAGTTTTTTAAAATCCTGTTTCATTAAGAAACACATTAACAAAGGAAAGAAAACAACATTAATGAAGCCATTTCATGGGATTTATTTGTCTTTTGTATAATTTTATACAATTTGCACAAGTGTGGTTTTTATTCATGCTTTTTTTTTAGCAGCTTTCTGTCAGGGCTAGCTTTAGAAATAATAGGTGGCACGTGAAGTAGTTTGCATCTCTTAGAATGTATTTGTCTCTAAACACCTCTGCCTTTTCTTTTCAAATAAATGACTGTTGAAAATCACTTAATGTGTGAAAATACATTTATGGTTACTTTGGTGTAACCTTGTACGTTGCCTTTGTGTGCTTTCAAATGATGAAAAGTACAGGTTATAAAAGAGACTTTCATTGGATGTGATAAAATGTTTTTTTTTCATTCTCTCTGAATAGGACTGGATGAATTAGGCAGATATTGAAAGGGTTGTCAGTAGATGCATGGGAAATGAGAAAAATTGTCAGTGTCGATGCACCAATCCCTAAAGCAGTAATTGCATTCTGGGGAATTGCAGAATGTTTTTAATTAAAATGCCATTGATAGAGAAGGCTGTGTGCTGCGTCTTAATCGTATTTCACATATGTACCATCTTCTCATTTTCATATTTGGGTCCTGAAAAAGACCTCGCTCTTAATGGGCAATAACAATTAAAGTTCTTTTTGGCTTTGTAAGAAATTAAACTGAGTATCTGCAGAGTTAATAACATGTTGAGCATTGTGGTGACAGGTTGAAAGAATATTTTGCAGTTCAGCTGAAGTTATTTGATGGGTCAGTGAATACTGAAGACATTACCTACTATATATAGTCAAGATACCAGTTGTCACAAGGGCTCAGAATCTCAGTAATAGTGAGGTTTGGAGTCTGATTACACAAATGCTTGTTTTTTCTATAGCAGTAGTTTAGAACGTCTAGTTTTGATCAAAATTGACTTAATTAGGCTTGTTTTTGTGAATACTAGAAATCCAATATAATTTTCTTTCGAAGAAAATGGGAACTTCACTAAACCATAGCGTCACACATTAAAGCAATGATGAACTACTGTATATAATGAGGACTAAACTGTGTTCAATATATTTATATTGAGGCAAATTGACATTTCATTGGCTGAAACAGTGGTTTGATATTTTTTTGTGCTGCCTTTTACATTTTTACTGTTTTTATTAATCGTTTTGCATTTCATAATTATTATGAATTCATTCAATAGTCGATAATACATGGACATATAATTTTTTGTACAGTGTACTTGAACGGTTGTTTTGAACGGTTGAACAGTATGTTTTAGAAGAAAATACTATTTCTTTGTACTTCAAGCTTTCATGTTTAATTCAGTGTTACTTGCTGGTTTTTTTTTTTTGTAATGTGAGATTTACTTGCAATTTCTGAGTGCAAATTGTTTCTACACCTTTGTACTGCTCTATTGTATATGATTACTTTTAGTTCAGGTATGGTGTAGATACTGTAGTAAAACTGGTGTTTTTCCAAGAATAAATTGAATTGTGTCAACATGCCCCACTGCTGGTTTACACATGTTAAATGAACTATATCTTTTTTCCTGACCAGTAATGGTTCAATAGCTCTTTTGTAGCTCAGA